GCATGATTGGCCTAAACTAAATAAAAACGAGAAGGAAACTAAGAAAGAGGCCTTTTCACAGTGCCATGCTGTGAGAGGACCTCTGCCTTAGCCTTCCCTCCTTTTCCGAGCTCATTTCCACGTGTCCCTGCTTTCTTTCTGCATCCAGTTTGCAACAGTCTTGTGCAGTATTTGTCCTTTGTGACTATTTCACTCAGCATAATGTCTTCCAGGCTCACCAATGTTATATAGTGTTTTACGAGTTCATTGTTTTAAATTGCTGCATAATATTCCATTGTGTAAATGTACCAAAGGTTTTCTGTCCATTCGTTTATTTATAGGCACTTGAATTGCTTCCACCTCTTTGCCATTGTGTATAACACAGCAATAAACAAGGGTGTGCATACATTTGAGTCACGGCTCTGGGTTTTTGTTTTTAATTCATTGATTTTTAAATTTGGTGTACCATCGAATTGGATCCGACCGGCACAGGAGTTTGCCCCCCCTTTTGCCTCTCCTTCTCCAGCGAAGCATCTTCGAACCCCGCACCTTTGAGATTTCAGGGCAGCTCTAGTTTTTTTTAGGGTATATTCCCAGTAGCGGAATTGCTGGGTCAAAAATTATTTTTATTTCTAATTTTTGAGAACGTACCAGATTGCATTTTATAGTGGTTGTACCATTTTACATTCATTTCCACCACCAGTGTGTAAGAGTGCCAATCTCTCCACAACCTCACCAGCATTTGTCATCTGCTGCTCTGTTAAACTTTGCTGTTATTGTTGGGTGAAATGATATTTCATAGTTGTTCTGAGAATCTTTGTTTTCTTGATGTTGAGCTTCAATCCATATTGAAGGCTGCAGTCCTTGACCTTATGCACCAAACGCTTCAGTTCTTCCTCCATTTTGGTGAATTAGGTTGTGTCATCTGCATGATGCAGGTTGTTGATAAGGCTCTCTCTAATCCTGATGTCACATTCTTCCTCATAAAGTCCAGCCTCCTGGGGAGCTCTGGTGGCCTAGTGGCAAGAAGCTGCAACTACAGTCTCAGAGGTGCATGGTTCAAATCCACCAGATGCTCTGCTGGAGAAGGAGGAACAATCTCCTCCTGTACCAGTCAGATCTGATTTGACGGTACACACAAAAAATAATGAAATATAAATTAAAAAAAAAAGTCCAGCCTCCTGAATAATGTGTTTCACATATAGATTGAAAAACTTTGGAGAGAGGATGCATCCCTGACACACTCCTTTCCTGATTTTGAACCATACAGTGTTTTCTTGCTCCATTCTGACAATGGTCCAAGGATACGTTTCCCATGAGCACAGTCAGGTGTTCTGGGATTCTCATTCTTCTCAAGATTAGCTACAATTTGTTGTGATCCACACAATCAAATGCCCTTGCATAGTCAATGAAACACAGATAGATATTCATCTGGTACCCTCTGCTTTCAACTAAACTCCATCTGACATTGGTTACAATGTCCCTAGTGCCACCAGCCTCTTCTAAACCCAGCTTGAACACCTGGAGGTTCTCTTCTGATGTACTGTTACCATTGTTTTTGGATAATCTTCAGCAGGATTTTGCTAGTGTATGATATTAGTGATATTGTTTAATAATTTCCACACTCTTGTTACATCACCTTTTTTTTGGAAGTAGCCTTCAATATGGATTAAAGATCAACATCAAAGAAACACAGATTCTCACCACTGGGACAACTGACAGCACCATGAAAGAGGGAGAAGAGACTGAGGTTGTTAACAATATAATTTCAGCTTGCTAGGCTCCACAATCAACACTCATGGCACCAGCAATCAGGAAATTAAAAAAAACCAGAAAAACAACCAACAATCTAATTGCACTAGGAAAATCTGCTGTCAGGGACCTCGCCAATATACTGAGGAGCAATGATGTCAGTTTAGAGACTAATGTGTGCCTGATCCAGGCCATGGTCTTCTCAATTACTTGCTATGTATCTGAAAATAGGACAATGACTAAGGACAATAGAAGAAGAATCAAGTCCTTTGAGGGTCATGTTGGAGAAGAGTATTGAACATACTATGGACCACCAAGAGAAAAAACAGGCCTGTCTGTCTTAGAGAGGGTTAAACCAAGTTGCTCCTTGAAGGCAAGGATTTTTTCGGAGGTAAGGATTTTGAAGCTCCATTTTGCATACTTTGGGTACATGTCCAGGAGGGACCAGTCCTTGAAGAAGGACATCATGCTTGGAAGGGTGGAGGGATATAGCAGGAGAGGAAGACCCAGATGAGATGGATTGACATAGTAACTCAACTCATGTGAGTAGGTGTGTCGGAGTCAGTGAGACTGGCTCAGAACAGGGCAGTCTTCAAAGCTATTGTACATAGGGTCACTCTGACACACCTACTCCTATTACCCCAGTTACTGAGTCAGTTAATTTCATCCAGGGTCTTCCTCTCTTGCACTGTTTGTTATTCCACCCTTCCAAGCATGATGTCCCTTCCTAAGGACTGGTCCCTCCTTGCAATGTACCCAAAGTATGACAGATGAAGCTTTAAAAGCCTTGCCTCCAAGGAACAGCTTGGTTTCACTGTTTCTACCTCTGGTGGCCTAGTGGCAAGAAGCTGTGCTGCAATCCCAAAGGCACGCAGTTTGAAGCCACCAGCTGCTCTGCGAGAAGGATGGGCAACCTCTTCTTGTGCAACTAACTGCCTCTGAAAACTTGCTGGAGGGTCAGCTATGGATCACTTCCAACTCTTGGTACATAACAACAGGATGAAACTGTCTGTTCTCCTAGCAGTCCATGGTATATTCAATACTCTTCTCTAGCACCACAACTCAAAGGCTTCAATTCTTCTTCTGTCATCCATGGTCATTGTCCATCTTTAGTCATTGTCCAGTTACTCTTTGAGTCATAGCAAGTAATTTCAAAGACCCTGACCTGGATCAGGCACACCTTAGTCTCTAGGATGACACTGTTGCTCTTCAGTACTCTGGAGGGGTCCCTGACAGCAGATTTTCCCAATGAAATACATCTTTTGATTTCCTGAGTGCTGGTACCAAGAGTGTTCATTGTGGAGCCAAGCAAGATGAAGTTGTTAACAATCTCAATCTCTTTATTTTCTATCACGATCTTGTCTCAGTGGTGAGAATCTTTTTTTTAAAATTTAAATTTATTATTCATTTCAGTAAAAATTTACAGAGACTTTGGATTTCCATTCATTAATTGTTGCACTTTTCTCCCCTCCCAACCCTCTCCCCAGTACACTATCCTCTTGGAAAAGTAAAAGACAAATTCTCTCATTGTTTTACAAACCCTCCCCCAGGTCCACTCCACCATGTAGCCTTCGCTCTAGACTCCTGTCATGACAAAAATACCTAATCACATACCCCTTTTAAACAGTTTTCTCCCTCCATAATCAAGTGTTCTGGGAATTCCCATTCTTCTCAAGGTTAGCCACGATTTGTTGTGATCTACAGTCAAAAGCCTTCCCAAAGTCAATGAAACACGGATATTCTCTGGTACTCTTTGCTTTCAGCAAGATCCATTTAACATTGTCTATAATATCCCTAGTGCCACGGCCTCTTCTAAAACAAGTCTGAACATCTTGTAGTTCTCTTTTGATTTTCTGTTCCAGTCATTTTTGGATAATTTTCAGGAAGGTCTTTAAGTATAACGGACACTTTAATGAGCGGCGCACGCACTCCTGGGAGTTGTAGTTCGCAAGGTCTTTGACGCAGAGACGTGAGGGGAGGGGCGCGGCCGCCGGACTATAAATGCCAGCACTCGGCGGAGTGGGGTCTAAACTCCTGAGGGCGGCGATGTCGGGTGCTGGGCTACCTGGGGTGTCTGGGGCGGCTGAGAGGAATAAAGAGCCTATTCTGCAGGTACTGAAGCATTATGTAGACCCAGCCCAGCGCGGCGTCCGCGTTCTCGAAGTGGCCTCCGGCTCTGGCTTGCACGCGGCCTACTTTGCCCGGGCCTTCCCCCACGTGGAGTGGCAGCCGTCGGATGTGGACCAGCGCTGCCTAAACAGGTGTGGCTGGGCGACCGTATGCCCAAAGCCAGGGATCCCCTCTGGGCTCTTAGGGCCTATGTCCACTGTGTGACCCCAAAGGAGCATCGGGATGTGGGCGCCCCTGCGGACCCGCACATACAGTACTGCCTTCCTGCAGCATCTCAGCCACCACTAAGGCCCAGGGGCTGACGAACGTGAAGGCCCCGCTGTACCTGGATGTGACCTGGGGCTGGGAGCAGTGGGGCGGGATCGGCCAGCAGTCTCTGGACCTGCTGCTTTGCATCAACATGATTCACATCAGTCCACTGCGCTGCACCGAGGTCTGTGGGGAGCTGGGCTGGCTGCCCGGTGTTTCAGGTGGCCTGGAAGTGGGAGACACCTCACTACCCTCTGTCTCCTGCACTCTAGGGACTGTTCAAGGCGGCTGGGCATCTACTCAAGCCTAAGGCGGTGCTGATCACCTATGGGGTGAGCGCTCTCCCCAGAGATAGACCTCTGCTCCTCAGACAGCATGTCTCTGCCACCTCTGAGGTGGGGTGGCAGAGTTCTGGCCAGCTGTCCCCTCTCTCCCTTAAGCTATGGACACTGCACAACCATAATCTCCCTGACTTGGCCAGCGTATCCCTTCTCCCCATGCCCAGGGATCACGGATCAGCCACTTTATCTTGTTCCCCTCCTGATTACCTGTTTCCACTCTCCCAGCTACAGCTTCACTTCCTTGTCCCAAGTCAGGCACCTAGCAGTTTTTTGGCTATCCCTCCTTCCTTAGGGACCCCAGCCTCCAAGACAGCTGAGGGATCACAGGCAACACTGGGCAGGTAGGTGGTCAGCAGCAGAGCTGTGTCTCTTATCCCTGCAGCCTTACTCAGTCAACGGGACCATTACTCCTCAGAGCAATGTGGATTTTGACCTCTCCCTCAGACAGAGGTTAGGCTGGGGGCAGGAGCTGTTCGGGAGGCAGGGGTTTGTGCACCCCAAGGCTGTGACTCAGCCCTCTCTCCTGCAGAAACCCGGAGTGGGGACTGCGGGACACGGCCTTCCTGCGACACTTGGGTCAGACCAGCGGCCTGCTCCTGGAGCGAATGGTAAGGAGGACAGTGGATCTTAGGGGGTGCGGGTGGGCTGGGGGACTAAAGTAGCCCATCCTAGCCAGCATTCTCCCCAGGTGGACATGCCTGCCAACAACAAGTGCCTGATCTTCCGAAAAGAATGACTTCCTTCCCTGGTTCATTCCTGGTCCACAGACCACCCCCTTCTCTGGGCCTTAGGAGCTCAATTGAGGCTTGCCTCGGAATAAAGTGGTCCCTTCTTACTCGCAGCTTCATTTCCATGTGCCTCCTCGTGGGAGTATCCATCCAGGGCAAGCAGCAAGGGTTTGTCCTCCGGGGTCCCGCTGGGGCCATGAGGGAGGGAGTGAATGGCTGAGATAGAGGCCGGGGCAGTACCAAGATGATTGCTTCTTTTTCCAGAGGACATCCCTTGACAGGCACGTGGTGTTCCCAGGAATGGGCTCTGCCAGGGCCCTAATTTGGTGGAGGATTTTGTGCGGTGGATTGCCCCAGATACCTACCCAAATCCCCTGTGCTCTCCGTGAAGGCACCAGGAAGAGTCAGGGTCCCCTCAGAGAAGTCACCAAGTTGGAAAGAAACATTTTTATTTACCAGGAAATTAGAGAAGCGAGTATAGGTCGAAGGTTAGCAGGCCAGAGATGGAGCTTGGGGCCGGTGCAGGCGGAGGGGCGGGACCTGGGCGAACCTAGTCCTGGAAGCGGTTGAGAAGTTCACAGGCCTTCTTCTCCACCAGCTCTGTGATCTTCCGGACTCGCTTCTCGCTGGCGGCGCGCACGTAGCTGCCGGCGTCCAGCACGGCCACGCCGTCGCGCACTTCTCCCATAATGACCAGCGGCCCGTCGCCGGCCGTCACGTTAGGGCACGGGCAAGCCCAGTCCACACCCAAGAGCGTCACCTCTAGGTATTTGGTGCCAAAGAACTGCAGGCCCATCTTGTCATCCTTGAGCACGTCGTCCAGGGCCACGCGGGCAATGCCGCCGCCTCCGTTGGCCTCCGGCTCCTGCAGCACTTCTGTGAGCCGCCCCACAATGGCGAAGTCGCTGCGGCACAGGCTCAGCGCCAGTCGGCTGCGCAGGCGGCAGGCACGACAGGGCGGCGTGCGTGGTACTGGGCAGGCGTCCTCACAGGCCTCACGACTCTCGAAGTTGTTTCCATTGCCCTCACAGCCGCCGTAGACGAAGGGGTGGCACTGGCGCAGCAGCGGGCTGTAGGCCCATCGTGGTTCGCGGCCCGGGCACGGACCCCGCACGGCGGGCAGCACACAGGTGTCGCCGGGACCTGGCGCGCAGGCCCGCTGGCAGGCCTCATAGGTCTCGAAGCCACCCTGTGTGCCCTCATCGCAGCCGCTGGCAGCAAAGGTGATACAGCCACCGCGCTGCGGGTCGAAGCGCCAGCGCACCTGTGGAGTGGAGGGGCCGACGCAGGGCTGCTCGTCTGGCGCGCGAGCGCACTCGGCCAGGTCTTGGGTGGGGACGCTGGGTGCACGAGGGGGCCCTTCGGCGACGGTGCCCCGCTGCACCACTGAGAGTGGGAAGTCTGCGCGCAGGAGACCCGCGGAGTTGCGGGCGGTGCAGGTGTAGAGGCCTGCGTCCTCGGGCCGCGCATTGTACAGCACCAGCTGCCCGATGCTGGTGACCACCACATTGCCATACATCTGGTCAGGTCGTAGGATCAAGTTCTCCTGCTGCTCACTCTGCCTCTCCCAGGTGATGGCGGGCGGGGGACGCCCGCTGACATCGCAGTGCAGGCTGGCTGTGCCCCCAACGGCCACCGCTTGGGGCGAGGGGTTGTTATAGAGGGCGGGTGGTTCGGGTACTTGGGGCGCCGCCCCAGACGTTGGTTGCGCAGTGGTCTCGGGAGTCTCGGAGGGCCCTGGGCTGCTGGGGGGCCAGCCCAGCACCGACTTGCAGGGCACCACGCGCAGACGCAGGCCACGAAGGCAGGCTTCGGCGTCCAGGTAACAGCGGTTATAGTAGGTAAGGCCGTCAGAGGCACAGGTGAAACTAGGCTCTTTTCCGCAGCGCTCCCGGCAGCGACACACGGGCTGCCCGTCCCAGATATCGCAGTCAGATCCCTGCTGCTGACACACAAAGCCCTCGCACGAGGCGGCAGCGGCTGTTGTGGGGTCTCCGAAGGCAAAGCGAGCCGCCACGCAGCTCCGCAGGCCACACACGTTGGGGCAGCACCGCTCAGGGGCCGCGCAGTCCTGGGAGGCAGCCGGGAGTGACTCAGTGCGGACCCCGCATTGCGCTGCCCTGCCCCTTCTGTGCCCGCCTCGCCCAGCCCTGGGGTGGAGCCCTCCCATCCTTGCTTCTGGCTGCAGCTAGTCTCTGCCTCTCTTGGAACCTGTTTCCCCTCTTGAAATCCAAGGAAGTGTGTGCTCTACCGCCATAACTACAGCACTCCCACTTTCATTACCCGCGTGCAGAGGGAACTGAGCATCCCCCACCGGCCCTCCCAGCGCTGGTCCCAAGATGAAAGAGCAGAGGCTAGGGCACAGCGGCTGGCGCTCTTTGAGGGTGTGGAATAGGGTCTCTAGACCTGAAGGCGTGGTTCACTCTGTTCCTCTGTGGTGGATAGTGACCGAGGCAGGAAGGGTAGGGGCCCTGGTGGGGAATGCTCATGGGAGGGGTGTTCCCAAAGCATAGCCTGGGAGGGCCCCACGAGGATCTGGCCCTGCTGTCGCCCATGTCCACCCCCTACCCGGCTTACCTGGTCCCCCACACACTCGCGCTCACAGGTGCTCTGGGCATCCACCCACAGGTGGGGGTTCAACTGATTTGGGCAGACGCCTGGGTGGCTCCCGGACTCCAGTGGTGTTGGCAGACTGGCTCCTGTGACCAGTCCAGCGGTGGTGACAGCGGTGGCAGCAGCAACGAGCATGGTCAGGACCAGCAAGAATGGCAGCGGCGTCGGCATGGGGTTCAGCGGGGTGCGGCCAGGGCTCCTGGTCCGCCCTGCAGAGGCTCTGCCCGCATCCACCCTGTCTGCCCTGGCTGGGTCCCGCCCTTGACTCCCTAGGCAGGTGCCCTCGGCAGATGCGTCCGGGGCTGGTTGGTGGGGGTCCTTCCACTCTCAAAGTCCGTCCATGGGGCTAGTCGTCTGGGCTGGCTGCTCCCCAGCAGGTCAACCGGGCGCGGGGGAGGGGAAGAGGAGGGGTTGGCCGAGAGCAGCACTTCTGGCCAGCTAGGGTCACTGAGGGGCGGAGAAGGGCTGGCTCTGGCCAGAACGGGGGAGGGGAGGCGGGGTGGGGCGCTGTAACCCGAGCCCCTCCCTCGCGCCCTGGGAACCTTCTACACTCGGATCAAAGCGCTCTGTCCAGACCCTCCACTCCCCCCACCATGTCTCTGGACCAGCAAAGTGGGGGCAGGGCTGGCTAGTCTCAGCTTTTGTCTCAGGCTTTGAAGGAACTCCCACAAAGTGGGGGTGATCCCACTAGGTGATAGTGGGCAGATACTGCTTCGGTGTCCCACCAGGTTGTCATCAGTTCAAGCTCAGTCCCGAGAAGGGTCTATTCTGGATGATTACAGCAACTTTCTCCCCTATCTAGTGTCCCCTGCAGTCAGCCCTTCTGATTCCTGGGGGCTAACCCACCCAGAGCGCCCATTTACAGAGAGCAGGCTGAAGAAGCACTAATGTTCTGGGGCACAGGGACATGCAGGCTACCTCTGTACTGTCCAGCCAGAAACCCATGCAGACTACTAACATCCTGAAGCACAGATCTAAAAGTTAATTCTGATTAGTTCAAATTTAAACACCTGCAGCCCAGTCCCTAGAGAAGCCAAGTGGGCCCATTAAAGAGAGCGGCTGCCCCACAAGCCTGGACGAAGGTCCACTTGGGTGGGGGTGGCTGTCCTCCTGCCCTGAGTCAGGGCAGGGGCTGGGATCAAATGCTGCACAGGACAAAGGCCCTTCTAAATCCCTGTGTCTCCAAAGAGGCGGGGACCCAGGGAGAGGGCTTCTCCACAACGGATGGGAAATTGTCCCTGTGACCCCATGTCTGCCCTTCTGACCCAGGGGGCATGGTAATGAGAGCATGTGGTGGTGAGGCTGAGGCCATGATGGGACACCAGGACGTCACTGGACCCCCCCTCCTGGGGCCTGGAGCCATCCTACACAGTCAAGCTGGTTCGCCCTTCTAGGCAGACTTCTCCCCACACCCCAGCACCAAAGCCACCCTCAGAGGAGGAAGAAGGGGCACAGGCTGGAGAGTTCTGACCCCCACCTCAGCTGTCTTGGGATGAGCTCTAGCAGGCGGCTACAGGGCTGGTTGGTCGGGGGCAGGGGATGGAGACAACTGTAGTTGTGAGGAGGCCACCCCCTTCTCACTGCTTGGGGCCCAGTCCCCACCCACAAGGCACTGTGGCTCAAAACTGGAGATTTTAATTTATATAAAGTACACCACGGTGTCACAGTCAAAGACATTTACTGTACAAAGAAATAAAAATAATCAGGATCAAACTGGAGAGTCTACAGCAGCCACGGGTAGTGTCATGTCAGGGAAGTGTCTCTCCTTGAGGAGAAACTGGGTGGGGGTTCTGTCCATAATCCCGAAGAAACAGCCATCTCTGTAATGGGTGGGAGGCCTAGGGGCAAACCCCTGAGGCCAACCAAGCTGCTCAGGACCCTTCACCAGACACCTGAGCTGTCCTGGAGCTGGAGGACAGGCCAAAGGGCTTAGAGCAGGAAGTAGAGTTGAGAACCAGTGTGACTACAGGCTGGGGGGTGGGGGTGGGGATAGGGCGTGGGCTGCTGGGTCCTGGGCTCAGTGTCCCTCAGTGGCGACTTGTCCATGACCCTGCAGTACAACAAAGTGGAGAGGAGCAGTCACGGCACACCAGAGTTAGCACAGAGTGGTAGCTCCAGAGGGTCACATCGGCCTGTGGTCCCAGGGCCATTTTTATTTGTACAGAGCACTCAGTCCTCCCAGAGACTGTGAGCTGGTGCATGCACCTACTCATTGCAGGGCTGGTGGTAGGTGAACACATGGCAATGTCCACTCCCTGGCCCTTCTCTGGGGTCTGCATGCTGGACGCTGCCAGCAGAAGCTTCATCCCCTCCCTGTTTCTCCCACTGGGTTTGTGCAGGTGCAGGCGCCTACAATGTCAAACGGACACACAAAATCAGACTCCAGTTCTGTCCTTAGCCCTGTCTTCCCCTCCCCCCCCCCAGCATATCCCCACAGCTGCCACACCTGGCCTCCCTCATGGCCTTTAAAAATGTACAAAAAGAGGCCCATATTTTCACTAAATGAGAGCAAATGATACAGCACTGCGGCCTGCCTGAGGCAGGCACTGCCCACGGCCAACATGGGTGGAATAGCAGGGCGGCACGGGCACACCCAGCATCCTCTCCTCATCTTGCTTGCTGAGACCAGCCACACACCCGCCAGCTCAGGTTGGAGAGGCCCTCGTGGCACGTGCAGGTGGCAGGCATGGCAAGGCAGTCAGTCCGCTATGAGATCTTGCAGTTGCTGCGGGAGCAGTTCTGGGGGGGACTCTGGGGTGGCCGGATGGAGAGAGAGCGCTTGAGGCTGTTGCCCTTGCTGGTTGTGCCCCCACCCCCGCCAGCCAGCGAGTACGAGCGGCCATGCATCATGACTGCGTTCATGCCATTGGCCATGGAGAAGGACTTGAGGTGGCTCTTGATAGTGACTGGCAGCGGGAGCTTGTCAATGAGGTGGACAGGTGTGCAGGACACGATGGCGCGGCAGCAGAGGTCCTGCAAGCTGAACACTGTGGGGGCAAAGGCACAATCAGTAAGGCTGGGGGATGAACAGCAAGGACATGTCTGTGGAAGGTCAGTGACCAGTGGGTGGGACACTTTATCCGTGATAGGCATGACTAAGGGCATTTCAATAGTAGCACAAGATTTTAAATCTGGTCAGTGGGTGGGGTCACATCACTAAAAAAGGTGGGGAGCTAGGCATATTGGTGGGACAGCCATCATGGTTGGGGCCTGGCTGTGGTGGGGCTCCAGAGTGAGAGGTCAGAAGTGAGTAGGGCATATATTAACTGTGGGAGGTGGCTGTGGCAGGCAACACTAGGGGCTGGGGGTAGGTCATGGTCACTGGTGGGTGAGCCTCACCACGGTTGGGCCTCCAGATCTTCTCCATGCCGTGACGCATGAGCACAATTCTCGACAGCTCAGTGAAGGACTCAGTCACATTGAAGTTGCACAGGGGGCTGACCTCGAAGAAGGTCATGCAGTTCTTTTCGGCGTAGGCACGAGCTTGCTCCGTGGGCACCTGACGCTTGAAGGCCAAGTGCAGCCGGTTCCCCACCAGGATCCGGGGGACCCCGGGTGCGTGCTGGGGTGGCACAGGGCTCAGGATGAACAAAGCTGATGCTCCTCTGCCCGCCTGCCCTCCTGCCCCCCCGTGGAGGCCCACCCAGACCTTCTGCACTAGAGTCAAACCCTGCCTGGCACCTGGGATCTTACAGACGTTAAGGGGGACAGGAAGGCCTTGATGGTAACTCTAACTGCTTATCCCCACCTACCTCATCGATCTCCTTGATCCACCGGTCGATGCCGTCGAAGGACCAGCGGTTGGTGATGTCGTACACTAGAAGGATGCCCTGTATGGAGATGTGGTCAGCATGCCTTTGCGGCAACCTGGGATGACCATGCAGGTACAGAACCAGAGACTGCTGGAGCTCCTCTCTGGGTGTGCCCCCTTCATTGAGTGTGCCCCCAACACCACCCCTTCAAGCCCCCCCCAGCTAACCTCCTCCATACACATCCCGTCCCTATGCCTGCCCCTTCCACCCCTTCTCCATATGTTCCCAATCATGCCCCCTACTGCATCTCTCCACTCCTTGCTCTTATCCTTCCTCCCATACCCTTCCCCTACCTCTCTCTGTTCGCACCCCCTCCAGACCTCCCAGCACATGGACCCCTGAACTGCCCCTGCCTGCACATATGTTCCCTATTCACCCTTCCACCTCCCACCCCTCTTTATGCACACCCTCTCCCTCGATGCAAGAGCCAGAACAGAGGGGAGCTCTGGTGGCCTAGTGGCAAGGAGCTGCAACTACAATCCCAGAGGCTCACGGTTCGAATCCACCAGATGCTCTGCTGGGAAAGGAGGGACAATCTCCTCCTGTACCAGTCAGATCTGATTTGACCGTATACTCACACAAAAATTTAAAAAAAAAAAAGAGCCAGAACAGAGCAACAGTGGCAGATGGACAAAGTGGGTGTGACGGACCACCCTCAAACCGTAGGAACTGGCCAGGGTTGCAGAGCCTCGTCTTGGCCCGGCCCCTGGCACACACCTTCATCTGTGAGAAAGGGATCTCAGCCTTCCTCTCATCAATACTGCCTCCTTCCTCTCCCAGTGTGGATGAAGGACACATGTGGGTGGCCATGGACCCGCTCCCCAGCCTGATACCTGGTCCACAGGCTAGGCTGGGAAATGGTGTGGCCTGGGCTGTGTAGTGGGCCATTGGACACTTCTGTTAGGTAGAGGGGGGGTCTGCAGTCAGGAGATATCGGAGAGGCACACAGTGACAGGGACATCGTTCCCATGTGGGCCATGCTGTGGGACAGTGAGGAGTGTTTCTCAGATAATCAGGCCTGGGCCTCTGTGGGTCAGCTGGTCATCGGCCTGTGCCTGCCACTGCACCTGGGGAGGCCTGCTCCCCTCAGTGCTTGTCCCTGGTGGTCTGGGGGTGTCAGGCCCCTAAACAGCAAAGGACACCTAGTGTCCCTGGCAGGCCCTTTGCTGTAGTGAGTGCTGCCCCGGGGGCACTTGGAGCAGTGGCAGGTGGAGGCAGAGCCCGCCTTCCTAGCCCCATGTGGCTGCAGTGGACCATAGCAGACAGGCTATGGTGACTTCCTGCCACATCCCTCAGAGACCAATTACTGCAAGCTTTGCTCCTGGCCCATGGCGTATCTGCCTTGGATTCCACACTTGGTTTCCAGAACCTCACTGATAGGGTCGAGTCCAGCTTGCAAGCCCCATGTTCCCTACCCCATAAAGTCTGCACGACATGGGGGGGAGGGGGTGAGTGGGCAATGTCCCATCCTCCATTTCTGGAAGGTCCTATTGGGAAAGGTCCTGTTTCTCTCCACAGAAGCCTCCCTAAGACTGGGCACCAGGGACAGACTGCAACCACCTCCAGCTAGCAGGTGCCCTGACCGTTACAGGCTGAAGCCCACAAGGCTGGTATGATGGTTTACTCATCATCCATGATCCTGGCACCCTGGGCTCTAGGGAGCACAGCTCCTGTGTGCAGGGCTGTGCTGTGAACTGGGGGGCAACACCAAAAAAGATATGTATTAGTACTGCAAGACTAACACCAAGTTGGTACCTACGCTCCCAGGAAGTCATCGAAGATGTGCCCCAAGATGGTCCTAGGATGCTCCTCACAGCTTTGCTCATCATAGACAACAACCAGCAGCGCACTTATGGGACTGACCTGCGAGTCAGCAGTGCAAACGCTATCAAACCAAACGCCCTATCTTACTTATGGCGACCCTCCACTGGTTTCCAAGGCTGCCAATCTTTACCAGAGAAGACTGACCATCTCTCCCTATTGTGGCTGGTGGATTGGAACTGTCAGTCTTCCAGTTAGCAGTACAATCATGGGGATGTTAAAAAACAAGATGGAAGGATTATACAGAGTCATTGTACTAAAAAGAATTGGCTGACACAGAAGAATTTCAAGAATCAACATATGAGCAAGAGGAAATGGTGATGAAGGAGGAAGTACAGGCTGCTCTGAAGGAACTGGAAAAAAATAAAGCCCCAGGAATTGGTGGAATACCAATTGATGTATTTCAGCAAACAGAAGCTGCCCTGCATGTGCTAAGTTGTGCCAAGAAATCTGGAGGACAACTACTTGACCAACTGACTGGAGGTGACCTGGCAGAGTGTGGAAACTATTGAACAATATCATTAATATCACAAACTAGCAAAATCCTGCTGAACATTATCCAGAAAAGAACAGTATATTGACAGAGAACTACCAGAAATACAGGCTGGGTTTAGAAAAGGTCATGACACTAGGGACATTACTGCCAATGTCAGATGGATCCTGGCAGAAAGCAGAGTACCAGAAGAATGTCTGTGTTTCATTGACTATGCAAAGGCATATGACTGTGTGGATCACAGTAAATTGAGGCTAACCTTGAGGAAAATGGGAATCTCAGAACACTTGATTATGCTTTTATGAAACCTATACTTGGACAAGGAAGCAGTCCTCAGAATAGAGCAAGGAAACACTGCATGGTTCAAAATCAGGAAAGGAATGTGCCAGGGATGCATTCTGTTTCCATACTCTTTCAATCTGTATGCAGAACAGATCATTCAGGAAGCAGGACTTTATGAGAAGTGTTGCATCAAGATTGGAGGAAGACTCATCAACAACCTACAATATGCAGGTGACACAACCTTGCTTACTGAAATTGAGGAGGACCTGCAACACTTGTTGCAAAAAGTCAAGTACTATAGTCTAATATGGATTGAAGCTCAACATCAAGAAGACAAAGACTCTCACCACTGGGCCAACTGGCAGCACCATATTACATGGAGAAGAGATTGAGGTTGTTAGCAATTACAACTTGCTCGGATTCACAATCAACAGTCTTTAACACCAGCAGTCAGGAAATCAAAAGACAAACTGTATTGGGAAAATCTGCTGTCATGGACCTCTCCAGAGCGCTGAAGAGCAATGATGTCAGTCTAGATACAAAGGTATGCCTAATCCAGGCCATGGTCTTTTCAATTACTTGTAATGCTTCAGAGTTGGACAATGACTAAGGATGACAGAAGATTAATTGATGCCTTTGAGTTGTAGTGCTGGAGAATAGTCTTGAACATACCATGGACTGCCAAGAAAACAAATTGGTATGTCTTGGAGAGGATAAAACCAAGCCTCTCCTTGGAGGCTAGAATTTTGAAGCTCGGCCTCACTTACTTTGGGCATGTGACCAGGAGAGATTGGTCCTTGGAAAAGAACATCATGCTCGGATGGGTGGAGGGACAGAGCAGGAGAGGGAGACCCCGGATGAGATGAATTGATACAATAACTGGGGCAATGGGTGTATGTGTCAGAATTAGTGAGACTGACTTAGGACTGGGAAGGGTTCAAAGCTGCTGTACGTAGGGTCGCTATACATCACAGGCAACTCAGTGGCACATAACAACAATAACATACTATGACAAGTCTGGAAGCATGAGTGGCATCCACTTCCTAAATAACATGCCTCCAGAAACTCTATGAACTTTGATAAATGTCAACAGCAGTAGAGGGGCTTCAGGCCTTTTGTTCATAGGGTCGCTATGAATTGTGCTTGACTTGAAGGCAATCAAAAACAACATCAAGTCTTACCCCCAAAAGAGACATGTGAAGTCCTAACGCCCTACACTTCTGAGTATGTGTCTCAGGGAGCGGGGTGGCCTCTGAGCTGTTTCATAGAAGTTCACCAGAAAGGCCAGGCAGCCTGCGCAAACCCTTAACAAACCCAAGAACTCCCATGAGAGCAGCATGCCTGCCAGAAGCTGGGAAAAGAGGTTGCAGAGCCTGACCTCTTCTGTCCATAAGGATGTCTGCCTGCCTGCCATGTGGTGGGCAGTCACCTGACAGAAGGGGATGTGCTCATCCCAGAAAGATGCAGGTAAATTGATTATGTCCTGAAAACACAGCCTCCAAAGGTTACATACACATGATCCTCAGACAAATATAAATGATGTGGAACATGCTGACACAGAAGCCGAGTATACCCCTTTGGAACCCCGAACGCACAGGTGAAAAACCATCCTGGCCTGGCTGCCCCTAGACCAGCCTGAATCCCACCTCTTCCAAGTAGGACTTGGGCTAACAGTAGCTCCCAAACTCAGCAGAAAGCAGGAAGCCTAGCTGATCCTGGGAGTCACCTAGTGTCATACAAGTGGGCACCAGACAGAGCTGCTTCTCACAGAGCCCTCTGCATGGGAGCGCAAGGGGGGCTGTGGCCCTCAGATGAGGAGGGGTCTCAGCCTCAGCAGAATCGCTGAATGTCCATAGAGGGCAAAATGCTTACGGGGCCACAGATGGCATGTGGCCGTTGGTCAGAACATGTCACAGAGGACAGACATGGATGGACAGCCCTCTCCCAGCCTTACCTGTGCACCCCTAGAGTAGGACCTGAAGATGGTACAGAATCTGCCCTGGCCTGAAGTATCCCTGAAACACAGGGGGTGGGAAGTGTTAGCACAGGACAAAGCCCCCAAAACGCTCCCGCCCTCTCACCCGTTCACAATTCATCCCATACCCTCACCAGAGCTCCAGCTTTACACGCCGGCCGTCCAGCAGGATGGTGGTGGTCTTGTAGTCAATGCCTGTGAAGAGTGGAATGCAGGCAGGGTAAAGGCACTCATGTGGCACCAGTCAAGCTAATCTGTGACAGTCACAGCATCACTAGTGACATCACTAGGGTGTTAACCTCCTCTGACTTGGGGTGGATTGGCTGGTCCCATCCTGCCTTGTTCTGTCCAAGGCTCCTAGTAGCTTGTTCTCGGGTCAAGGATGAGAATCCCATGTGCCTACATCCTGGCACCACTGTACGAGACAGCAACCCGAGACATGGCTGCCCTGACAGTGCCTCCTCTTGTGTACCAGCCCACTGCTGCCACCACTGAGAACAGTGGATTCACCTTGCTGAGACAGCACCAAGAAGTGTGAGAGGAAAAAATAAAATGAAGTGTGACGGCAGGGGTGTGTGACAATACAGGGTTGTGTGGTGTGTGATGAGGAGAGTAATAGACAGGTATGTGATAGTGAGGGCTGTGTGATGGTTAAGGGGTGAGTGATGGTGAGGTGTGTGATGGTGACAGGTGTGTGATGGTGACAGGTGTGTGAGATGGTGAGGAGTCTGTGATGATGAGGGGTGTGTTATGGCAAAGGGTGTGTGATGGTGAGGTGTGTGATTGTGAGATGGTTAAGGGGTGTGTGATGGTGAGGGGTATGATGGTGACAGGTGTGATGGTGAAGGGTGGAATGGTGAGGGATATGCGATGGTGAGGGGTGTGCAATAGTGAGGGGTGTGCGATGGTGAGGGGTGGTGGGGTGCGATGGTGAGAGGTCGATGGTCAGGGGTATGTGACAGTGAGGGGTGCAATGTTGAGGGGTGTGTGGTGGTGAGGGGTGTGCGATGGTGAGGG